CACTGAGACTGACTTTCTGGATTAGCGTGGGGGTTTTTCAGAGTAACGCTCTCGATATTCCCAGTATTTAGATCCATAGGTGCAAAAAACGAATGGTATCTATCTTGTTTTGTAACCGAGTATTTGTATGGAGACTTGACTATGACGATTCAGATCTTATAGTGCCACATTCGCTCCCAGATTCATTTCAATGGTACTTATGTGAGCCAGAGAGTCATTCTGATAAGCATCGAATGCTTCTACATGGGTACATTATTGCTACCTTGTTTTCATCGTCTCTTCATCGTTGCCACCTTTTTAGGTATAGTAGGTTCCAAATCACGATTTCTTTCTGATCAGTTTCTTGCTGGTGTGGTAGAACAGTTTCGGGAAAAGAAGTCACTAGGAACTACTACTCTTCTCACCTGAACCTCACTCATCACCGCTACCGGTTCAAAAGGATTCAAAGAAAGAAGCAAATAATCAAAAGCATGTTTTTGTTACAAGCATTTTTAGCTAAAAGAAAGCATCTAAGATTTCACACGCTCAGATTATCGTGCTCACCTCCCTTGAACTGAAAAAGTTCCCTAGTTCCGAATTTGCTTTCACATTAGGTAACTTTTGAGGCGAGCAAAGTCTCACTGTACATGAGGGTCACCGGCTTGAGCGACTGTCAAAACTGATCCCGAATTGTTTCAAAACGAACTATTTTGATGCGATTACTTTGGCACTGATGTCAGCGTCAAAAAAGGACTATGTAAAATTCTTACACCAAGAGGCATGATCCTCAGTCACCCGTCCTCTCAATAATCACGATACCTATTCCTGATATACATCCTGTGGGAGTCGTAGGCGTCTGTGGCGACTGGCTTCAGGCCTTTCTTGAAACTTCCTGAGATGCCATCGCACAGATATCCGGTTTTCTGGATTCCAAGATGTGTATTAATTGGCAATTGGCGCTGTCTATTAACCCAAGAATTTACGATACCTCTTTGCCTTCCTTGACTAGGAATTCAATGCTTTATGCATTCCCTCGCAAGAGTAATCGCTATGAGGGGGGNGGGGGGGGGGGGGGGGTTGGATGGAAATGATTCAGAACAACTTCTCGGAGTGGATGTTCCGGAAAATAAAGAAAGCACTCCTCAGTGTTCTACCTCTATGATATTTTGTGGAACGGTAGCGGTAACAGCCATCATGAAAAGCCCGCTCACCGCTCTGAACCGGTTGTAGCTCTGAATTAATGTCAATGTTCGGTTTGCTTTGTAGTCGGACATTTCACGGTATACCTAAAGTGGGTTAGTGTGCTCGAGAGCGATAGCGAAGCTGATAAATGACGCGCTAAAGAACGGAAACCCAAAAAAATGGTTGGGGCGTTGGACGAAACAAGGTTTCTTTTTGCAAGTGATTCAGACTATATGCGAGTTCATGACGAAGACACCTCGGACTTCTTTTTGTTTTACATCGCAATGTTTTCACTGACACCTCTCTATTACCATGACAGTGCTATTTTCTCTACTAATGTTCCGGTTTTCGGTTAGCGTAATCAATTACAGCTGCCGCCTATCCGCGAATCTAACAAGTTAGCTTATGATGAGAGGGTTTTAAGTCGAACTGTCTTACACATTCAACCGAAACAGCTCATTTCGTCTCTGGGTTCAATTCTCCGGTAATTCGCATCTTTGACAGTAACTTAAAATATTGTCTTCAAAATTGCTTGTGGCTACGTTCTTTCGTTACTATGAAAGAAGTGTGAAGACTGATTGTGGGCGAAAGCTAATCGTGGGCGATGGCTACGAGGCATTAGTTCTGCAGTTGGCGTAATATGTAGATTGAAAGTGGATAATCCACACTACAATGCCATGTTCACATGTACAATTGAGATCACTTGGATACTCGATACCATAGCTCGATACCTTACGTCCTCATATATGTAACTGAACGTCAACACAGTAATTGAACACGCTAACTAGGAAAACGTCCGTTGCGCGCGTAAGGCGAAAGTAGGTCACCCGCCCACCTCGCGCGCGACGCACCCAA